CTATTAGAGGATAATCTCCTTCTTCAGTGGGCTGAAGAATAAAGAAAAATAGCGGCTACTCAATTTCAATTTCAAGAGAGAAAATACTTTGGCTTTGACTTTGGTTGGAGAAGAAACAAGTGTTGTTTTTCTTTTTTCTTGAGGTGTGGATTTCGCACAGGCTGGTTCTCTATTTAAGAACATACTGGGAATTTCTCTAAGGTGTATTTTGGATACTCTAGAGGTGTAATATTCAAAATAAGTACCTCACACGTTTCATCAAATTGTTGATTTGTTGTTAGATTATTTGTTGTCTTGGAGATTGATTATTGTGGTATTTCTCAATTTGTTAAGAAATTAAGTTTTGAGGCATAAATTTGAATGTTGTAATCTATGTTTATTATAATCGATTTGACCTGAGTTGTCCTGTTGTTTTTTTCCCTTTACATCGGAAGGTTTTTTCCATGTAAAAATTTGGTGTTACGTTCTCTTTTTTCTTTGATCGTCTACTCGCATATTTAATCACCAAAATTAATTGCTTGATTAATAAATTTATTCTTGCAATAAGTGATATTGCCCAACACTCCTAACTAAACATAAGTTTGTTTAGTGTTTTGGACTAAACTCAAGGGTAAAGAACCAACCTTAGGCTTGGTGTAGAATCAATCCAGTACTTTCCTTTCTTAGTGTATTCTTGTAAATCAAGCTCATATAGTTCTCTAGGGTCAGCAGGGACAGTAACCATCCATTTTCTTGAGGAAGCCACTATGACCTTAGCCATTTTTGTAAATGGGCTTCTTGTGCCTATAGAATGGAGTACCAGCCAAGAAAATCAGAACTGATATCACAAGGCCCGCAGTCGGAAGCCCATATCCAAGGATCCAGCCCACATTGTCTTGTATATAAACAAGAACTGTGTTGGCAAATAGTGATCCAAGAAATATACTAAACATCCACCAGTTAAAGAAAGAAAGTTTCTAGGCCTTCTCTTTCGGGTCGAACTCACCGAATTGGTCAACCTCGATCGTCGAAATGCTGGGCTTTATACCACCAGTCCCCACTGCTATTGTGTAGATTGCACCAAAGAAAACAACCAACCGTAATGCTTTTGACCTATGGCAGTTGGCTGGATTTGGATCCACACAGCTAGAGGGCTTTAACCCCTGAACTGATACTGCTAGGGTTAGCAGCGACATTCCCTGCCAATAGATGAGGATAAATTGCATTTATTTCTATCAAAAACTAGTGTTGGATATTTAGATGGGATCTTATTTTTTAACAAGTATTGTAAAACAATGTAGACGATTTATGACGAGCAATCCATTTTAGTAGTCAAAATTTGTATTAAGCGAACACAAAAATTTAACAGCACTTGAAATATTAATTACGACAACCACTTTTACATAAATGTCACAAAATATCTGGCGTTTAAAAAAAAAAATTACGATGGCTTTTTGACCAATCTTTTCAACAATTGAAATTTCATATAAGACAAATTTTTTTTACAAAAATATAATAAAAGAAATACTGAAGATTTTCTGTACAAATCTTTTCGCCTTTCACCTATCAAATTCCGAATATTGTTACACAAATAGAGTCAATGATAGAACTTATAAATAGTGAACATGTGTCAAAAATTCATCAAACAGTTTGACAAGAAGAAAAAGGGACCACAAATGCAACATTGATAAAAAAAGGCAGCATTATTCGTCAAATCCCACCTCCCCTATTAGCTTCTACTAGTCACTTATTGTTAGGCACAAAGTATATGTATTTATTTAAAATTTATCTTCAACACGTCTAAGTCACCGTGTGCATGAGATTCTTAGAAGTAGCAATATTTATACTTGCCATACTACTATGTCAAAATAATCTTCTCTAAAAGCCTATTAAAGATGGGTGATCCAAGCACAGGTCAACCACTTGACTTTTTATTTAGAACTTAAAATGAAAAAAAATGTCAAATACTTGACTTTAGAGAATCTCCCTCTATTTAAAAAAAAACGTATTCTATCTTTGAAAGAGTATTTATAAATTTAGAGTTAAAATTTTGAAGTACTCCGAAAAATTCTCTAAATTTAACACTTAATTTTATTACTAAAAAATTTATTATTTTTTCTCTATCTTTTATTTTAACTAACTTTTCTGTAGATTATTTTATTATTTTCCTACATTGAAAATTGAAATACTTTGAATATATTTAATTATAGAGAGTGACTTCGACTCTCAAAATTAGGATAGCAAAACCCACTTTCTAAATTAAAATATTAATTTTAAGAGTTTATTCTAAAATGATTTTAAGAGTTGACTTTTTAAAATAGAAAGCATATTATATTTAAAGAGTATCTTGGAGATCCTCTTAACAATTTATCATGCAAGGTCGTGAATGGACCCTTGGTTATTGATACACTTTTTTTTCTAAATTTTGATGGAATCAATATTCATTAATTAATTTAACCGCCCACCAACCTCAATTTAATTCCTTCACATCCTTTAACCCTTGTTATAATGTTCATGTTGATAGACCCCCGAACATAGCCTAGTAGTGCAAAGGACAGGAGTGAGGTTAGCCTTGCTGGCAGCCGCAGTGTAATGGTTCGATTCCTGAAATATGAAATTGGACTCCTTGTAGGCACAATGTACAGTCAGCTCTTGTTTCCTGGGCTGCTGGGACACATCCCACGATTTACCTTCCTCACAAAACTCTAGGGACAGAACGGTGGGGGTCCTCAAGGTTAGGGTTCAACCTTTATAATGTTCATGTTGAGATTATAACTTGAATGTGATAGTAAGTGACAAACGAAAAGTAATCATCATTTATATTACATGACGTACCAAGAGGTATATTGCTGATGCAACAAGGAAAATCCAACAACGGCTGAGAAGAGCATCTGCAACATATGCACCCAAGATAGGAGTCATCCAAACGGTGCCTACCCAATTGGTGACATTATTGGCTGATTTAACTGTGCCTTGATGCATTTTCTTGGTCAAGTAAATGATGAGATTCGATAAAATCCCATGATAGGCCATACGTTCAAAAACTTCATAAACTGCACAAGACAAAGGTCATTTATACAAGTCAAAATTTGATGCGATTTTTTATGATATATGATTGTTATATGAGTTGTTCAACTAAGTGCAAGGTGTTAAAATGGCTGCCATTACATAAAGGTGTGAATTTATATTTCGATCCTAACTTTGGGTGGGTCGTCACATGTACATCATTTATGTTCTACAAGTAGAAATAATTGCCTCATGGAGACTCCTTTCACTAACAGTTTTTGTATCTTAAAAAGTTTACGGTGCGACGTTTGATGCTAAAAAAGTTATTTTGAGAAGTATTCAATATGGAGTGAAGTGTCCAAACTAAGATGTGCTGCTTTCTTTGTGTCATTAGGCTTCTTCGAACTTCATTATGGACAAAATGGGCCATGACAGTCTTTCCTTAATCTTTGATTGGAAGAGGTAGATAAGGAATTTAGGTTTTGGAGTAGGCCATATGTAAGATTTATAGCTGATGAGACAACCGATCATGTAATTTAATAGCTCAAAATAGCTTTTTGATAAAAAGTTAGTTCTAAACACCAACTTTTATGTTGGGCAATGAACCATAGGCCACTATCATCTAAACTAGTGATGATGACCACTACTGATGAGTAATTTTACTCTTGCAATATTGTTTGATGGTGGGGAGGGGCGACGGTAATTGGAGGAGTGCATTTCAAAGACCGGAAAACAATATGATCGATTAACTATAATCCTCAAATCACCAGATTTGAGAGAAGATACAAAGGAAACAAGCTGTGTACAAGATAATTATTGATAAAACCAACTCAGGAAAGAATTCTTTATTTCAAGGAGAAAGAGGTATCAAGATCTCCTAAAATATGGGAAAACAAAGAGAATATATATTGCCCTTCCCAATTCCCAACAGTTAAAAGTAGGAAAAGATAAGAGTGCACTAAGTAGTGGAGAGAGAGAGAGAGAGAGAGAGAGAGAACAAGCAGTCCATCCTCCATTCTCGGATCTAAGAATAGGGTTCCCTTTGACATTCATAGTCCCATCTTGCCCATTTTCTTCCCCAGCCATTACACAATCAAGAAAATCAGTGCAATGTTCTTAGTTGAAGAAGCCAGTTAACTACAAAAAGTTAATTGATACCAACCCTTTTATAGACTAGTGTTAATTAGTTCTGCGCCAATATAATATATCCAACTGTTCAAGAAACTGAGATAGTTGTTGGCAGATTTCTAGGTTTGAATTATCTTTTAATACACATGCTATACGTACAAATTTGTTAACATTATTTTGTATCTTTTATTGACTCAAGCCTTCGTATTTTGCTTTATTTTTTCAGGTAACACCCGAGTGGTTACGACGAGGACGTTTCAAAAGTGAAAAATAAAAGATTTTTATTGATATAAAATGGGATGACTCATATTCAGAAACAAGAAAATCTACAACGCAATTACAAAAAATAAAACTGAGAACCCAAAAACATTTTTCGAGAAAGAAACTTAAAATCTGCAGAGAAGGTAATTTTTATTTTCCAGTTAATTTGGAAGTATTGAATTAATGCTTATTTAACTTGATTTCTTTACATACTCCGGTGACAGAAATTAATTAGTCGTAGATTATGTAACCCCGTTGTTTTTAAATTAATTAGTAGCTTTCAAAACAACAACAACAACAACAATAATAATAATAATAATTAGTAGTTGTAGACTGATTTTTTTACCCCGAATAGAACCACCCTTACAATAATAATAATATTTATAGCACCAGAAATAATTTTCTACTAGTTAATAACTCTTAAAAGTGTACTCTCTATCTCTTAGTTGGTCTTAGTTATGAAAAAATCGACCATATGATATCAATTCGACTTGTGAGTATGAAAAAATGTTTCTCCTCCTCCTCCTCTTCCTCCTCCTTCTTCTTTTTTCTTCTTCTATTTATTTTTATTTTTATTTTAAGATAATTAGCAGAAGAAATTGAGTTATAGAGTAGAATGGACGGTATGATTTCAATTTGACCAGTGGATTATAATGATCAAGACGACAGAATGTCTAATCGGAATTTGTAATACACTTGATCAAGAAATTATTTAGCAAGCTAGAATCACACAGACAGGTACATATTTTTTAAGCTCAATCTTTGTGTCTCGAGTGCATGCAACAAAAGAAGAATCAGTGGCGTTCAGTTTTCCCAATTCCACTGCCTTTACCAATTCTGCTACCAGAACCACCATCTGTTTTAAGGCCGCCACCAAATCCAACACCAACTTCAAAACCAGTACGAGGGCCAAATCCAGGGCCCGGGCGGTATCCACCACCTGGACCAAATCCACCACCAGGACCAAATTCGCCACCTGGGCCAAATATACCACCAGGGCCATAACCGCCACCCGGGCCAAAACCACCACCTGGACCGAATCCACCAGGACGGAACAAACCACCACCTGGAGGGAGCAAACCATTGCCAGGGCCAAATCCACCAGGAGGGAAAAACCCACCACCAGGTGGGAGCAAACCACTGCCAGGGCCAAATCCACCAGGAGGGAACAAACCACCACCGGGAGGGAGCAAACCACTGCCAGGGCCAAATCCACCAGGAGGGAACAAACCACCAGGGCCGTGCTTAAACCAGAACCATTTTTCATCATTCACATTTATAGAAGCAACCACAGTCACTGAAACAACATAAAAACAAAGAAATAACAACTCCCCAACTTTCATTGCAACCATAATGTCATTACAACTTTCCGCGGAATATATGTTTCAGAATTGCATTAACAACATCATACAAGAGGGATTATATACTTATAATTCTATTGTCCCCATCATTCAGATAATGCATTTAATGGCACCTAACAACTACCAGTTTACTAATGCTGTACAAAACTCCATCAACAAGTGTTTGGTAAGATGCATCAGACAGAAATGCTTTCACGTGCCTACCAATAAAATTTGATGATCCATAGAGATATTTTCTTGTTAATATGGGAAATGGCAAGTTTCATGCTGTAGCAAAGATACTTTGTGCAGTGAAGGGCCATTTCATAATTTTCTTGTATGCAAGGAAGCTCAACTAGAATTTGATTTAAGTTTTATTAGACTTATTATCTCAGATTTTCAGTTCAAGAAGGCATATCTTTCTTTAAAATATTTAAATTTCACGTGCGTGAAAGCTCTTTCTCTTCGATACTCATGTCTAAAATGTATAACCAATAAGTTTGAAATGAAGTGCTACTGGTTAATGAGGGATACTCCGTGGGGATCCAAACAGATTTTGCCATTCGACCTTTAATAGTGACCTAAAAATCAAATTGTATCGTGCAAGTTAATATCGGATCATTAGACCCAACTACATACATCAACTGAACGCATGACATTAAGAGGGAATTCATATTTGTTCGAGAGTAATAATTTGGAATGTTAGATGGGAGTCGTGTTTGACGGTCTGATTTGTAAAAGAGTTATGAATAAATACTACACCTTTGTAGCGATTTCACTAAAAAAAAATGTGTTAACAAGAGTTGTTTAACTTATAAAGAGATAACAGACCCTTGACATATATGCTATACAGCTGTTAAGCAATTTGTTCATGACAACCTTCAATATCTCCAATTAGAATTTTTATAATACTGAATATACATTTAAAGAAAAAAAAAATTAAATAATGCAATTAATGTTTAGAATACTTATTGCTAACTTACACTTACAATTCTCTTGGACAATGACATTTAAACCTATTGCTATATTAGAAATTAAGTATACATATACATTTCTCCTTAAAATTGCACCAAGATGCATAGATAAGATAAGGTACTTTGGCACAAGTTGTATCTAGAAGGGCATGCAATGACGGAGCACATAAAGAATCTTTAGACACAACAACATTAGAAGACAGTGGATCTGACCTGCTTTACTCAGTAGGATATTACATTAATGGTGCGATCCCGAAAAATAATTTTAACACAAGTGTCAGAATACCATACCGTCGCATAACTCTAAATCCGATAAGAGCTCACATCATATCATATCATTTCATTTCATTGTACCGGAATGGCCATATCATTCATATCATATCATTAATATCATAACTTTC